ATAATAATTATAATTATTATAAATTATAAATTATAATAATAAATAATTATAATAATGATAATTATTATAAATTATAAATTATAAGTTATAATAATAATCATATATGATAATAATAATAAGTTGAATATAAAGTAATTAATTATAAATTCTAATAATAATAATAATAATAATTATAAATTAGAAATAACTATAATAACAATAATAAATTATAATAATAATAATTATATATTATAATAATAATTATAAAATCTAATAATTATATTTCTGATTCAGGGTGTTGGCAGACATGGACAATCTAATGTCAGGGACGACGACGAGGCGTACGATGACTATTATGATGGTTCTGGCACCCGACACACTAGAAGGCGGGGTGTCAATGCGTCCGTTCATCGGGAGAGGGACACGGAAAGGCAGGCGTTGATCGATGAGCCTCGTAGAGTACAGCTTCGTCAGACTAGCCAAAGTTTCCGCCCCCCCGCACCAGTGCCCACTGGTTCATATCATTTTGAGGGCCAGCCAGGTAGTTCGCGACCCCACGGAGCCTTCCCGTACGGCGAACATGGATTTTATTATCCTGGTCAGGCGGGCAGGACGATGCCCCCGGCACCAGGACCGTACGATCAGCCGGGATGTTCTTTTCCCCGCTACGCAAGGAAGTCGTTACTCCCCCGCGCACGCGTACCATTACCTTATGGTCAGCAGGGGTATGCTGATGATGAGTCGTACGGCGAGAGGGAGCCGGGTCCAGAGGACTATGACTCGGACGACTCTTCAGATGATCAGGACCACGCACAGCCTACGGGTCCTCACCACCCTCGTCCTACTGTACAGCCAGTTCGTCCGGTACAGCCGGTTCTACAGCATGTTCGTCCGGTACATGCTGTTCGTCCCACACAGCCTGCTCCTCAACGACAGGCTAGGGGGCGTTTTGGCCCATCTGCATCCTCATCAGGTAAATAATTTACTTATTTATTGTTGTTTAACATAAATTATTTTCACTTAATCATAACAAATTATCGGTACTGTTAGAAAAGTATTATCGGCCTGCTCCTCAACTACAGTATAATTATTTTGTAATTTAGAGTAAGTTGAATAAATTGTAATTAATTATAAATTTAAAAAATAATATTAATATTTATAAATTATATATGCTTATAATAATAACGTAAAATGTAAAATGTAACGTAAATAATAAAATATATTTTATTTAATGCATCTGCCAGCAAGTAAATATATACAGATATGTTGTATTTTAATGCAGGTACTAGGAAACGAGCTAGGACCGATGATGATGCACCTTGGATCGTTAGAGGCCCAGTGCCCGGTGGGCCCATTGATGGGAGTGTCATCCCTAGCTTTCTTGGGCACGTCGCCTCCCGCATGTGGAGTGGGAATTTGAGGGGTCCGCTGAAATGCCACAACAGACCGCGAGCGATCGAGAATCTGAAGGCTTGGCGTGAAGAGATGTCTTCCGATGCGGGAGCTCTTCTCGACCAGACCGGGCTGTCACATTTGGTCGACTCCATGCACACCCACTTGGACACCCCACTCCTTTCTGCTTTTGTGGAGCGATGGCAGCCAGATACTAACTCGTTTCACATGCCTTTTGGTGAGATGAGCATCATGCTGCACGACGTCCGGGCCATTTTGGGCGTTCCAGTGGAGGGAGTCGTGGTCGTTGAGGACCCGGATTCGGACGACTGCCATGGGCTCTGCATGTCGATACTTACGGTCACCAAGGGCGAACTCATGAGTTCGTTCTGGCAGCGTGGTTCGGTGTCCGAAGCCGCCATTTCGGGGGCATTCAGGGGGAAACGCCGGCCGGCTAGGGATGAGGCGGGTGCCTGGATGTGGGTGATGCTGGCTACCACTTTGTTTGTCGACAAGAATGGTAGTAGAGTGACCCCCAAGCTCCTGCACGAGGTGCTCGACTTGGATTTGATTGGGGGTTACTCATGGGGATCGGCTACGCTGGCATACATGTACAGACAGCTAGGTATTGCCAGCCGAGGGGACTCTGCCCAGATGTCGGGCTGCTTGACTCTTCTGCAGTCCTGGATATATGAGTATTTCCCCGATTTTCGACCCCGGGGGCGTCTACCCATCGGTCCTGACTGTCTCGCACGATCACGCTCGTGGAGCGTAGGGAATGCGCCACGGTCAGACGATCGGCTCACAGCCATCCGTCGGCGCCTCAACAGACTCACTGTCTCCGATGTACGTGAATTTATTTTATTTAAATTTAGTTACCCGTTATTTAAAATAATATAATTATTTTTATAAAAGCTCTTATGCAATTGTGAACAGGTGCAATGGTTGCCATACGGCAGCTCCAGCCCAGATGCGATAGAGCCGAGAACTCTTTATAGCGGATTGATTCGATACCGCGATGTCGTCGAGCCGTACTTGCCTGCGCGGTGTCTGCGTCAGCTGGGGTATGTCCAGACTGTCCCTCCCCCTATATACCCGCCAATCAGTGCAGTACGTTCTTGGGAGTGTAGGAATTACAAGGTTGAGCATTCTGAGGCTGGTGCAGTAGGTGCCTGGATCCAGTTCCCGATGTCTGGGACGGTCAACACCGGTATGTTGACCCACACCACACAGGATCGCGGGGAGGCGACTGAGGATTACCAGCAGTGGTACAGTCGGGTTTCCCATCCGACTCTCATGGGCGAGGAGCTGCCGGACGAGAACGAGGTCCCAACGCGTGTCAATACCGCCTATGTAAGTTGGTTACTAAATTTTAATTAATGTTAATTAATTACAATAATTTTTTTTAATAAATTTTAGTCTTATCTTTTTATTTTTCCATTTTTTTAGTGGGTGGATCGTCTTTTGGGCATTATATCGATTTGGCAGCAGGGATGCGAATGTCCGGTGGCGGCGGAAGTCGAAGAACAGCTGGCTAAGTTTAAGTTGGATTACGACAATGCCCAATAATGATGTAATGAATGTTTTTTTTTAATTATTATTATAAAACATTAAGTTGAATGATTTTTTTATTTTTTTTGCTAATTTTTTTTTTCTGATTGTAAATCATTAAGTTGAATGATTTTTTTATTTTTTTTTTATTTGTTAAACTTAAGTTGAATGAGAAGCGTCACACCACAAGTGAATAATATCGTTCTTTTATTCAAGAAGCTTTTGTTTGAACAGTGTACCACAATTGCAACCTAGAGTGGTACTGATGCTCCCAACCCACAACCGATTGATCTCGGTAACGGAACCACATGTTATGAATAGGCGGTAATGGACAATCATCAGTCAAATCTAAACGAATGTAGTGTGTTACGGTACCAAGATGGCAAATGCCAATCTCACGACATGGTCCTCTAACCGATGATAGTGCAGTGAGAGGCAACACTGTGTTGCTGAATAAGTCGTGCTGCCCACCTTGCGAACCAGAACTCAAATGAATGACAACCACATTAAATAGGGTCGCAACGGCGTAGAGGTCCTCCGGAACTTCGAACCAGTGAGCCCGTCCACAAGGGCCCTTGCCCCACCTTACGCGGCTGAGTCCGGCGTCGATATCTCTATAATAGATGTACTCGTACAATTCACGGTGGTTGTCGAAATCCGAGTACTTCTGCCCAGTACTTCTGATGACCATACATGTGACTCGCGATGACCCGAAATCCGCAGTTACCATCCGCATCCACATTCAGGTAACTCACTATGTAGTCCAACATATGCCAGGGGATACTTTGCCGCATTGAAAATCCAAATATATTTGTCGGTCTAAACTCTGCAATAAATATCATAATAATTTCACGTCACAATTTATATAATCATATAAATACTTTAATTAACGCTCAGCCGTATTTAAAAAAAATGTATGACCTTCATCCCCTTGTGACTGTTGAGAAGACGAACTTGTCTGTCCACGCGAAGAATTGGTCGTACGGCTCGATTTCCGACCTCGCGATTTATCGTTGTACTCAAAAGCAGATGGTTTAGGCTTAGTTGAATTAGTTTTTTTGGGACGACCTCGCGGGTTATCCTTAACCTCAGATTCCGCATAATCCTGTTGGTCTGGGTAAAGATGACTGTACATGAACTGATTCACGTACCGCATCATCGTGGGATCGCGGGTTTCAACCTCAGTCACAAGCGTCTGAAAGAACGCGCATCTGACCATGCAGCGTTGCTCGCCTGGCTCGGATGACCAGTCCCTACAAGTATACGATAAAAAAAGTCAATTAATTAAAACAAATAATGTATTTTAATAGAAAATTATAAATAAAACATTAATCTTAAATTACCTGGCTCTAATATCTCGAGCGTTCTCCAGAACTGGTGAATCATTCCGAGATTAATCGGAACGTCGAAATCAACTGCGTTACGGAGGAGACAGGCACAAGGAAGTCTATGAGTGAGCTGCAATACACAACCGCAACTAGTGTAAACATCGGTGTCCAACTTGTGCATCCTCGTAAGCTCAGCGTCCAATAAACTTAGACAGTAATGCGAGACCCTCAGTATCACGCTCGCGAAACGGATTCCCTTATACCGTGTATTCTTCTTAGATCTCGAGGCCTCAAGCGCCGTTCTGATAATACGTTACATAACGTTAGATTATAATTAATTAATTCAGTAATATAATAACGCATTTAAAAATTGCAGTACGTACTTGATTTCAGTCACTTGATTATCGATATGCTTATTAATCTTCTGACAAACCGTATCGAGCGCGCCGGTGGACGTCTGAAGCCACTCCTTCAACGCAGAGTGGACACTCTCCACCCTACAGGAAGTTGTGTTTCCAAAATGTGTCACTCGGTTGGTCCAAGCCTTCAGAAACTTCTCGCGGTGCACTAACCATGTGCCCTCAACATACCGTATCACCTCTGGAGACTTCGAATATTTTGCGCGCACCTCGGCAACGGCATCGTTGTAGGCATCGAACATACTGGCCTCTGCAATCGCCTTCCACGTACTGTGCGTGAAAATCTCTGAGAATTTTTTATTCTTCCCAAATAGTTGGTAGGTTTTGGCTTCCACATCCTTGTTGATGTGCCACGTGCAGAGTAAGTGGGCTGATTCAGGAAAATGCCTCTGAATAGGAGTGAGTAAACCCAACTCTCTGTCACTGACAACAACATAAGGATATACGGTTTGGCCTATCAGTAGTCTCAACTTCTCTAGAACCCAGTCGTAACTGGCCTCTTTCTCGTCCCTGATGAGGGCATACGCAATTAGGAAGTTCTGGTTGCACGGCGTCATCCCAATCATCTCGACCAACGGCATCTTGTACCTGTGCAAATGTGACCAAGAAGACAAAAAATATAAGCACATAAAACTTAACTTAATCAAACACACTATTTAAGATTCATACTAATAAAGTATTTATAAAGTAACATACCTGTTGGTTTTATACGTGGAATCTATACCGACATACCAGTGATATGTCCGGAATAGATTGATCGACGCAGGATGGGCCATGAATATATGCGTCAACACTTTCGTGTTCGGATCGGATTCTACATAAACTGTATACTCGCTGCTCACGGCCAAATGCATAAGCTGAGAAGGAACGTCTCTACCGTCGGAACTCTCTCTCCGCAGCTTATCTCTAAAGTTATATACCTGTCACCGATTAGCGTTAATTATTATGATTATTATAATTTAAAACAAAAAATTTATTATATTAATAAATAAAAAAGTATATTAATGCATATATTAACTATCACAATAATAATACATTAGTAAATATAATAAAATTTATTAATTATTACAATAACTTTTACATATAAAAAATTACTAATTATCATAATTAACTTAGAAAAGTTAATTAAAACATATATTACAAGAAAGTCTTCCCTGTCTTGTTCACTTAGAAAGTCAACGCATTCTTTTTCACTGGTTTTTCTTGCACTGGTTTACTTAGAAAGTCTTCCCTGTCTTGTTCCCGCTTGACGAATCGACTAGTCCTTCAGTCTAACCTCAGCGTCGAGCATATCTTCAAACCTTTCCTTCACTGCGCTTCGGCTCGAGGGTAGTGATAAAGGTTCCCCATGGTTAATATATATACCTGCCGCACATGAACGTTGTCTCCCGGATTCTTTTCCTTCAGCGCGGCCATAATTTTTTTCGGGGCCACCTGAGCGTCCGTCATGTCACGAACAATTTTCTTAGATGAAGCGCTGAGACCGCTCAACTGGCTATGACCCTCAGGATACACAACAAATGCATGGTTATGGTAGCCTTTCTCTTCATTGCTACATCTACAGATCCTCCAGTATGGAGCGCCGGACACCTTTTTTACTTTGATCTCAAAATTGCAGCCGCACTTATTCGTTTTTGTTCTTCTAGAATTTCCGTCTGTGCCTCTGTACCGTTCGCCTCTATGACACTTCAAAAGTCTGACCGTTTTCTTTTTGTGGCTCGAAATTATTAATAGGAAACCATTCAGCATTGCCTGGTGTTTTGCAGCTTCAATAGCCTCTTGAGCACTATTATATAATGTACATGTATCGAAACGCAGACTGTAATCAACACCATCTCCTCCAAAATCTTCTCATGACTCCTGCTATATAGTACAATATTTATATTTTTAGAACATGTTAAATTAAGATAATTAATTCTACCATGTAACATAATAATTTGTAACATGATAATATCTAACGTCCAATTTATATTATAATAAACATGTAACACAATAATTTGTAACTCTTAACACGATACTATCTAACGTCAATTTATAACATAACTAAGACTAATATGTAATATAATAATTTCTAACTCGTAACACGATAATATCTAACGTCCAATTTATATTATAATCAACATGTAACATAATAATTTGTAACTCTTAACACGATAAACGTCCAATTTATATCATAATCAAGTCTAAAATGTAACATAATAATTTATAACATAATAATATAGTCCAATTTATAACATAATAATTTCGAATAAATAACATAATAATTTAAAAAAAAAAAAAAAATCCGTCCGGCCGGTCGAACCGGACGGACCGGTTCCGACCGGCCGTCGTTTCCGGACGGCATTTTAGTCGTCCGGCCGGCCGGTTCGGACATGGCCGGTCCGACCGGCCGTACTTTCCAGACAGCTTTTAGCTCGTCCGGACCGGCCGGCCGGATGGCTTAAAAACCGTCCGGTTTCGACGGCCGGACGGGCTAAAAGCCGTCCGGAACCGGTGGCCGAACACCTATTTTTTCGTACTTCCGAATTTGACGACATTTCACCGTACACTTTCCTCTGATATGTTTAGAAAAAATGAGAAGAGCAAAATTGTTCAAGGAGGGCAGTGACTAGTAAAATGGAGACAGTGAATAGTAACGCCCTAAGTAAAGATTCACAAAACCCGCACTTATTAATAGCGTTAGTTTCTCCTCGTCTCTCAAACAGCTGCTCGTTTTCTTGACCTGAAGAAGGTGAGATGGGTTCTCAGGATTTGGGTCGGACTTTGTTTTTGTCTTTTTCCTCAAGGATTTATGGATCAATTTTTATTTTTTATTTTTGGGTTTTGTGTTTGTCTATCTGGTGTCTCTGAAAGGTGCTCAATTTTGGATGTTTGGCGTTTTATGTGACGAAAACGAAAGCTTTTATTCACCCATTTATTTGTTTGTGTTTGAATTGCGCAAATTCGTGCTTGAAACACCACTGTATGTTTAATGTTTTCCTAGGATTGTGTTTCATATGTCGTCAGCAAAATTGGTGGGATTGCCTGTGTTTTGTGGGAACTGGGAAGTTATTCTTTAGTACTTTATGGTTATCTTTTGTATGGGCTCTAAAGTGCTGGTTCTTTAATATATCTTCTGAGTGCACTGGGCTCGAGTGA